CCTTTACCTGAGAGGCTGAGGTTTCCAGAATGTGGTGGCTTCATGGCTGAGCATTCTTGGCAATTTGGAAAGGACCAAACTGAGCTGGCTGTGATTTCCCCTTTGCCAAGTCACTGGCCAGGTCAGGCACGGTACTCATAGGAAGGATGAAGCCAGTGTGTCCTTACTTCATCGCCCATCTCTACAGGCGGAGGTGAGGGAGAATGTTTATTCTCATTGTCCAGAGTTCAAGCTTCATTCTGCAACATGGCCAAAGCAATCAGTGAGTGATGGAGTAGCTCTTAAAAAGAAAGCTGGCATTTAATTAACTTTTCAAAGTGCTGGTTCAGCAACCTCTATGTTTTACATTTTGAATATTGAACAAGCATCTCTAATCGGATCTGAATTGCTCTGGGCCTGGCTTGGTGGTGAGCACCTATTTTAGTTTCTGTGAACACCATGGACTCAGGTGTGAATTCAGGAACTCTCAGGAATGGAGGCTTCACCATGGACCATTCAGGCTCCTTGCTTTGTCTTCCTCCCCTCAGCCTTTAAGTCAAGTCCATGTTCATTAACACTTCTGTTAAAAGGAAGTAGGCAAGTCAGAGGAGAAGGCAAATAGGTTTCAGTTCTGCTGCTTAGCAACTAGAGTGTTCAAGTCTAATATCTGAAATAAGATTTAGGGCAATAATTCTCATCTCTGTCACTAGGTCCCATTTCTAGAAGTTATTGCCTCAAGGGGCTTGGGGATGAGCCTAGCCCATGTCTGGGTGTGATTCTCTCGTGCACTGCTGGTGAAGTACTACCAGGTTAAAGGATTCTCTCCAGCTTTCAATTCTCTGTCTGTGCTGTCTTTCCTTCCGTAAACAGGGCAAGTCAAGAAGGGACTGTCTGCATAGCAAATCCAAACGGATGTCTGGGTGCCGTGGGGACATTAGAAAATCAGCGAGTATCTGCTCTTGGAGAGGATTGGGGTAAAGGGTTTGGAATCTAGGGTAAGTCAGGAGATAACAGTTTCTGGTTTCATCATCATAACTAGCTCTGTGATTTGGGCTAAGCGCACAACGGCAGCATCCAGTGTCCCTGCCCATGTATCAGATGGAGCTACTAAAACCCCTTTTGCCTCTTCTCTGGAGCTCAACTGATACAGTGTTAGTAGGTGTGAGTCTTTGAAGAGTGTCAAGTAGTGCTCTGTGTCAGGTGGGCCTCCCAGGTCACTGCGGTCATTGTCAGCTTCCCAGACCCTCTTCTGGGGAAGGAGGCGTGTGGGCCGTGGTGCAGTAACAGGCAGCCCAAGATTGCTGACCTCAGCGCTGCAGACCATCTGCCTAGGCGGGGGCCAGGTCACACAGGCCACATCAGTGACCTCAGCTTCCTCAGAAGTTGGGAAAGAAACAAGTCTGTGAGGAAGAGGTGACCCAGAGCCCACAACACAATGCTTTACCTCGGCCTCAGTCTCTGTGCAGTCCACGGCAGGCAGGACTCAGCCCCAGATCCTTCTCTGGTTACCTGCCCTGGTGGGCTGCGGTAGACCACTGTGTTTTAGATTTTGGTTTGTTTGCTTGCTTGTTTTTGAACTGTTGCCAATAATTTAAAACTGCATGCAATGTGGTGACTGGGCATGTGTGTATTCTAAAACTGGAAACAAAAAGTTTACATAATGCATACCCTTAACTCTCTGTAGTATACTCTTTTCTATGTTATTTATTTTATTATTTTTTTTTAATTAAATCATAGCTGTGTACATTAATGCAGTCATCGGGTACAATGTGCTGGTTTTATATACCCTTTGAAATATTTTTATCAAACTAGTTAACATAGCCTTCACTGCATTTTCTTAGTTATTGTGTTAAGACATTTATATTTTACACTTAATAAATTTAACATGTACCCTGTATGCTATTTAAAAAGAAAGAGAGAAAAAAAAAAGCTCGTGGTGATCTAAATTGATTTCAGGACTCCTAGTGGGTCAAGACCTGTAGTTTAAAGAACGTTGTGGTATATTCAGTGTCCTTGAGGTGGTTTGTGGCATTGTGTTAGCATGAGGTGAAGTAAGTCTTTGAAGTGGGGTTTTATTTCTGTATGATACCTTGGATTGCATTCCTGAGATACATAGACAAATTTGCGTATTCACATGTATATAAAGAACACACCCTCCGCCAATTCCCCTAAAATATCCCCCCTACTTCATCTTCCCTTTGCTTTCCCACATTCAGTAGCTGCATAGCATAGGAAGTCATCCACTTGCCTCCAACTCCTATAAGAAAACCAGCAGTCCACATCCAGTGATTAAGAACTAGTTCTGCCCCACCCAATGTTAGGGAGCCAGAGGGGCCCAGAGCTCAGGTTCTCCTAGCCCAGGTCCAGTGTCACCAGCCTTTTTATTTGAAAGAATCCAGAAATCTAGATCTTTGTACACAATCTCTCAGTTTTGGCAGTGAATTCACATTAAAACAGACCAAAACAAGAAACAAGCAAAAGCATGACTCAGACTAAACTCATCTGCAGGCTAGAAAGGCCCAGAAGCAACCAGTGTTGCGTCTGTGACCCAAGTCAGAGAGGCAGGGTGCTCCATCCCACCAGGCCCTCTGTCTAGCAGAACCTGCTGTTTCTGGGGGAGAGAGAGAGGGAGAGAACACCACCTGAGGGCATCCCTGCTGCCTATCCTGGAGGACTCCATTTCGATCTCTCTCCCTCCTCTGGGGAGAGAAATAAGATGGGGGGGTCCTTGGGCTCCCCCTAGAGTGAGAGAGAACAGGATGTGGGCTCAGCCGCAATTAAGCTGAATATTAAACTCATCCCCCTTTTGGATGTTGAGCGGATAAGTGGCAATTAACCAGCCTTCCCCTAAAGATTAGCATCATCATCGTTTCCTTCAGACAAAATCGCTGCTGCTTTTGCCATGGCACGTTGTGTAGGAAGGAACAATTTGGTCAGAACTCCTGAGGGTAATCAGAGATGAGTATGTCTCTTGTGAACACAAGGAAGACACTAGCCTTGTCCACCTAGCCTCGGCCGTCCTGTTATTCTTCATTCAAGCACTTCTACCGTTGGTGGCATAGTAGCTGCATCCTTTGCACAGGGAAAGCACAGAGACAAGCCGAGGCAGTGGTCCTAGGGAATGGCGTGAACTGGGAAAACAGCTTCTGTCCTCCTCCCCCTCCACCCATGGAAGGTGGCTTTGGTGGCTGCTTGACAGACTTCTAGGATCTGTTTGCCTTGAGACAGAGCATCCAGCAGTGGGGATACCCTGGGCACCCTGCTGCAGTTTCCCTGTGGTGTCTCTCATTGCCCTTCTGTCCCTCCACTCTCCTGCCTCTAATTGCTCAGTCTCCTTACCCTGACATTTACAAGTCAAAAATTGCAGCCTGGGAGATTCCCTCAGAGTTGTTACATCCTATCTGTCCTATTGGACCTACCCATTCTTTTCTCCCTCCTCACTTTAGCTATCTTTTTTTTTTTTAAGTGTTGGGATCTTGCTATGTTGCCCAGGCTGGGCTCAAATTCCTGTATTCAAGGGATTCTTCTGCCTCAGCCTTCCAAGTAGCTGGGATATACATGTCTACCACCATACCTGGCTTGCTTTCTCTTTCAAAATAGTACAGTTGATAGGCTGGGTGTAGTGGCTCATACCTGTCATCCTGGCACTCTGGGAGGCTGAGGTTGGTGGATCGCTTGAGCTTAAGAGTTCAAGACTAGCCTGAGCAACAGTGAGACCAAGTCTCTAAAAAAAAAAAAAAAAGAAATAGCTGGTATTGCAGTAGGTACCTGTAGGCCCAGCTACTCTGGAGGCTGAGGCAAAAGGATTACTTATGTCCAAGAGTTTGAGTTGCTGAGAGCTGTGCCACCATGGCACTCTATCAAGGGTGACAAAATGAGACACTGTCTTAAAAAAATAAAAATAAATAGTACAGTTGATAGAGTAAATTTCATGCAAAATAGTTTATTTAAACTTGACTTTAATTTATTTTTTTTCAATTGAGAAAAATTAATGTGATTATACTTGTGGGTGGAGTTGTTTGCATTTTCCAAGAATTGCCTGTTGGCTCCCATGCAGCTCCTACTGGCTGTGTCTTCTCACACTTCCTGCCTCTAGGCCATTGTGACATTGTCCATCACATTGCCCACGCTTATCCTGGTGCTAGATTTCTGACTTACAAGGGTTCATTTAAAACATATAGCAACTTGTGTTGTTGTGGAAATTTTCAGACATATAAAAATGTAATCACCATATACCCGACTTTAACAATTAACCATCTTGCCAATCTTAATTAGAAGACTTTGGATCAGTCTTTCTCAGAGTGTCAGTAGTAACCTACTTAGATTAAAATTTTAAAATGCACATTCCTGGACTCTCCCAAACCAACTGATTCAGAAATCTGTCACTGCCAGGCCCCCCAGTCTATATGTCTAACAGACTCCCCAGATGGTTCCCATGCACACTAATGTGTGAGAACCCTGCCTTAGACAAATGGACTTGTGTCAGCCAGGCTTTCTGTTCTCAGAGAATCTCTTAAGGTGTGCTGCTCACCCAATATCATTCACAAGGTCTTCTGGTCCTTTAGGTGGAGGACACAGAGAAACAGTGCCTGAGCCTGCAGCCTGAGCTATGCAGCCAGCGCCCCCATTTGCTCCCGGGAAGGCTGCACATGCTAAGAGCACCAAGTAAGACTCAGGGCCTCAGACGTCAAGCAATGCTCTATAAATTAGTCAATTAGTTGTTGAAAGGAAGAAGGACACCGTATCATCTGCACCCATTTGAATTTTAAGCTTCTGGCTTAGCCTGCACTTAAACTCACTGTTTCACTCGGAGTTATGCTGAAACAAGGCTGTGAGGAGGCACTGCAGTGTCTGCCATCTGTCCAGCTGGTGTGGGCCTCGGTCTGCAAAGAGGAATTCAGTCAAAGAAAGCACCTGTGATGAACTGACTGGCCTCACTTTTGAAACCCTTCCCCAAGACACTTCCTCGGAGCCTGAGACTAGTAGGTTCTCACATAAACCTTGTGTTTTCTTCTCTTCAGGTTCGGAAAGAAGGGGTCTGAAGAAGTAGAAGAGTACGTTTCCACTGTTCTTATGGTATCCTACGGTAACCTTTGTCAAAGGGTAGTCTTGCCTATCTTGAACATAGCATTAAAAACTAAAACAGTATAGGGCTGCGCCGGTGGCTCAGCGAGTAGGGCCCTGGCCCCATATACCGAGGGTGGCAGGTTCGAACCCAGCCCCAGCCAAACTGCAACAAAAAAATAGCTGGGCGTTGTAGTGGGTGCCTGTAGTCCCAGCTACTCAGGAGGCTGAGGCAAGAGAATCACCTAAGCCCAGGAGTTGGAGGTTACTGTGAGCTATGTGACACCATGGCACTCTACCAAGGGTGATAAAATGAGACTCTGTGTCTACAAAAAAAAAAAGACAGTATGAATCTGGCCATGGTCTATGGCTGGAATTACGCCTACTAAATCAGAGGTTTAGTTATTGCTGCTTCTTCAGCTGAAGGTCTAGACTGCAGCATTCCCAGCCATGTCCTATCTCCCACCTTGTGGTTTGTAGAATTGCATGCCCAGATGTCAGGGTACAGACCCGCGCCTTCTGCTCCAGTGATACAGATGGGCAGAAGCAGCACCAGCTTCCTAGCCTAGCCTTCTCCTAAGATGTACATTCAAACAAAGGAAAGATGGAGTCTGCCTAAGGGTGGCTGTGAAGGCAGCGTGGGGGGAGGGGAGCATTCCCGTCATAGTCTGGGGGATGCCGCTCTCTGGGGATGGTGTGTCCACACGTGACAGACCCAGTTGCCTTATTAGGTTTGACCAAGTTGACAAGGAAGGTGGGTCCCGGGATATTTTTATCTAGGAGAAAGAATTGATACAATAAAAATTTGAGTTCTTTTCTGTGATAGAAATTCATTTTTTCTCTTGTTCTTTTTTGGGGGGCAGTTATCGCCTAAGACAGCAGAGCCTGGATAGACCAGATGACGGAGGAGGTAAGAGTTCCTTGGAGGAAGTCAAGGGCTTCTTAGAGATTCCCCCAGAGCACCCAGAGCATTTCATGGGCCTCAGCTGCACCCCGTTTGCTGCAGCCCTACTATAAACATTTGCAGTGGTCTCATCACACACCGTGGTTCACACTTCTAACTTGCTATCTGCTGCTGCCTCTGCCTGGAGTGCCCTCCCCTTCCTTATCCACTGATCCTGCTTGACCTCCACGACTCAGCTGAAGCACCACCTCCTCAGAAAGGTTTTCCCTTTCTATCCCACTCCCTCTTTGACTCAGCTCCCCTTTCTCAGTGTTCCTTATACCCTCTTTGGCAAACCTCCATTGTAACATAGTGTAGCTAATATGTATTAGGTGTTTATAGGCCAGAAACTGTTTACCAGTTTATATAAGTTACCATAACCCCTTAGTGCAATTGTTATCCCCGTTTTACAGTTGTGGAAACTAAGGCATGGAGAGGTTAAGTTGCCCAAGGTCACAGATCTACTGAGTGCCTAGAGCCAGGATTTGAGTACAGTTAGGATATATCACTTTAACTCTTTGAGGGATTGATTGGTTTTCCTACCAGGCTCTAAGCTCCTAATGGCAGACCCCAATGCCTTATTTATCTCTAGTGCATGACATAGAAAAGTTGGTTCATGGCTGACTGTATAAAAGAGGGGAACAGGACTAAAAAGGTAAGCAGCCAGGGCATAGTTGAAACCTGTGTTCAGAACACAGGGAAAAAAGATGAGGTTTATATGTATCTCTAAAATGAAATCCAATCGGGAGATTATGCTTGGCACCTAAGTTACTAAAGACTTTTTTTTTTTTTTGTGACAGAGTCTCACTATGTCACCCTCAATAGAGTGTCGTGACATTACTGCTCACAGCAATCTTAAACTCTTAGGCTTAAGCGATTCTCTTGCCTCATCCTCCCAAGTAGCTGGGACTACATGTGCCCACCACAAAGCCTGGCTATTTTGTTGTTGTTGTAGTTGTCATTGTTGTTTAGCTGGCCTGGGCCGGGATCGAACCCACCAGCCTCGGTGCATGTGGCTGGCGCCGTAACCACTGTGCTACAGGCATGGAGCCTAAAGCCTTTTTGAACCCACACATATGTATACCATTTTCACACTCATTTCTTTGTGCAGATCCTAGTTTCTGTCTGGTATCAGTGTCTTTCAGCCTGAAGAACTTCATCATTTTTTGTAGAGAAGTCCTATGGCAACAATTTTTTTTGCCCTGTTTGTCTGAAAATGTCCTTATTTTTCATAAGATATACAATTCTAGGATGACAATTTTTTTTCTTTTAGTACTTAAACAGCTATTTCATTGTTTTCTGGCCTACACTGTTTCTGATGAGAAGTCAATAGTTTTCTTATCTTTCTTCCCCCATATGTAATATGTATCTTTTCCCCTCTAGCTGCTTTTAAGATTTCTTTTCCTTGGCTGTGCATGGTGGCTCACCCCTATAATCCTAGCATTCTGGGAGGGTGAGGCACAAGGATCCCTTGAGCTCAGGAGTTGGAGACCAGCCTGAGCAAGAGTGAGACCCCATCTTTACTAAAAATAGAAAAAGCAGCTGGGCATTGTGGTGGGCACCTATAGTGCCAGTTACTTGGGAGTCAAGAAGGAGGATTGCTTGAGCCCAGGAGCCTGAAGTTGCTGTGAGCTAGGCTGACTCCATGGCACACTAGCCTGGGGCAGCAGAGCGAAACCAACCAACCTCAAAAAAAAAAAATTCTTTTCCTTTGTTAGTTATTTTCAGCAACTTGGCTATGACGTACCTTTGTATGGTTTTCTTTGTGTTTATCCTCCTTGAACTTCTTGAATCTGTGGATTTATAATTTTATATCAAATTTAGAAAAATTTAACCATTATTTCTTTAAATATATTTTCTGTCTCTCCTGCTCCTTCTGGGACTTCAGTTTCGGGTGTGTATGTCCACGTGGGTCATTGAGGCTTGGTGTTTCTTGCTTTTCAGTCTACTTTTTCCTCTGTTCCTCAGTTTGGATAGTTCCTACTGTTGTGTAAGGGGTCTTTTCTTCTAAAATATCCAATCTGCTATTAATGCCAGGCAGTGAATTTATTTCAGACAGTGTATTTTCAGCTCTAGCAGTGCTGTTTGGTTCTTTTCTAATATATTTTCTACTTATCTCCTCTTTTGTTCATGTTTGCCTTTACTCTTGATAGTAGCCCTTATACAGGGTGAGTATCCCTTATCTGAAATGCTTGGTACCAAGAAGCAGTTCAGATTCCAAATTGTTTCAGATTTTGGAGTATTTGCATTGTACTTACTTGGTCAAATATCCCAAATCCAATATTAAAAATCTGAAATCCTCCAGGGAGCATTTTCTTGGAGCAGTGTCCTGCCACTCAAAAAGTTTTAGATTTTGGAGCATTTGGATTTTGGATCTAAATGTAGTAGTTAGCTGTTTTCAAGTTCTTTTGTTGCTAATTTCATCATCTCTATCTCTGAGTTTGTTTCTATTGACCAATTTTTCTTCTGATTACAAGTCATAAGGCAGTCCCCAAGTTACGAACATTTGACTTAATGTATAGCTCACACTTACAAATGGAGGCTATTACAGGTAATAGGTACCTTTTCCAACTTACATACAAATTCAACTTAAGAACAAACCTGCAGAACCTGTCTTATTCGTAACCTGGGGACTGCCTGCTTCTTCACATGATTAGTAGTTTTTCATTATATGCTGGGCATTGTGAATGTTACTATTACATGTTGAGAGTCTGGATCTTGTCTTCGTTTTAAGAATCTATACAGACACTCCTGTGTTTATGGTGGGGTTGCATCCATATAAACTCATTGTAAGTTAAAAATATAATGTGAGATGAAAATACTGTAATGTGTATGTTTATGCATTTTCAACTTATATTTTCAGCTTATGAATTTATCCACATGTAATGTCATTGTAAGTGGAGTGTACTGAGTGCTTTTGTACTATTGTAAAGTCAAGAAGTCATTGAGTCACAGCACTGTAAGTTGGGAACCATCTATATTTATTTTCATAGGGAGTCAATGTATTTGTCAGTCAACTTGATCCTTTTGAAAATATTTTTTAAATTTTATTAGGACAGAGTGAGAATTATCCCTAATATAATAAGGTGTCTCTCCTGAGTGCATAGTAGTTGTTCAGTAAGATCTCTCCACTCTGGCTAGGTGGAGCCAAGCATCCTCCCATTCTGTATAAGCTCTGGAGATGGAGCAGCCCACACCTTCTTGGTGGTGATTCTTTGCCCATCCTTGTAGAGTTTCCCCCTACTGAGGCACAGCTTTGTATATCGTCTGTTTAGGCTTTGGGGCTCTTCCTCGGCACAGCTCCCAGTTGTTCGATGCTTCTTGGATCCAGCAGCCTAAGCCCCTCTAAACTTTAGTCTCTCTCTTCTCAACTCAGCTAGACCTCCATGCTCTGTCTGGAGTTGCCCCTCACTCTTCCAGAGACCAGGAAGTACCTTAGGCAGAAAACCAGGTGACCTGGGGCTTACTTCATCTGTTTCCCTTCTCTCAGGAATCAGTCTTGTGTTACCTTATGTGTCTAGAAACAGTAGTGTTGTAGATTTCCCCCCAGTTTTCTAGTGGTGTACTATTGGGGGGGGGGATCAAGTCTAGTACCACCTACTTGCTTGTGGCTTAATGTGTAGTCCAAATCCTTCTTTCAACACCTTTGAGAAAGGATTCATTCTGTAAAACCTATAGAATTACCTGGTAATTGCAAAATGAGAGAGAGGGTCAAAACAGACATTTATGAAATATTCTGGGATGGTGGTTAAAATACAGATTCCCAGGCCATGCACAAATCAAAAGGTGGAATTGGGGCCTAGATCTGCATCAATTTAAGTAAACTCCCTAGATAAATATTTGGCAGTCCTGCCATTGTGTCTCTAAAAACCAGGACTGAGGACCAGGGAGGATGGAAGTTATGTGAAGAATATTTCTACCTCAGCTTATTCTAGAGGGGTTTTAAGGTGAAAGAGTACTCCTAGAGGTCAGGAAACCCAGCCACACTCTAAGTCTTAGTCATAGCTTATAAGCACATTCTCATCATTTTCCAGCCGTTTCCTTGCTTTCTAGTATCTCTTCTTGCCAGATATTCCTCTTTAGTTCAACCCACTAAACTCCTTTTAGCTCCCAGACTTCTCTACCTACTAATAATTCCCAATGACTGTATTTTTTATTTTTTGAAACAGAATCTCACTCTGTTACCCAAGCTAGAGCACCGTGGGGTCAGCCTAGTTCACAACAACCTTAGAATCCTGGGCTCAAGCAATCCTCCTGCCTGAGCCTCCCAAGTAGCTGGGACTATAGACATACATGACCACACCAGGGTTTTTCTGTTTTTAGTAGAGATAGGGCCTTGCTTTTGCTCATGCTGGTCTTGAACTCCTGAGCTCAAGGGATCCTCCCACCTTGGCCTCCCAGAGTACTAGGATCCCCAATGACTGCATTAAATATGGTACCTTACATTTCTGTTTCCAGAGTCTATTATCGCAGACTTGTACCTAGGATGTCTTCTGCCAGTGCCAGACGGGCAGCTCAGGGGTTGGTGGCTGCTAGCCATGCTTTTGATCGGTCTGTCCTCACAGACCGTGCTTCTGCCACTGGCTGCATAGTGCAGCAAAGTGACACTCCAGGAGTGTGGGCCCAAGGACTCAGGAGGCAGTGTCTCTGTTGGACATGAACAGAGCTGGTATGTGGTTAAGGAGCAGTATATGTGGAAGCTGTACTGATTGGAGTGGTATTCTAGAGCCTCTCGTTTGAGGCAGGGAGAGGGAGACCGGTGATAAAGGCAGGTGATTTGTGGTGTGAGGACCTGGTCCATCTTGAAGGAGCCTAGAAGTAAGTATAGGGCAAGTTGCCTCCTGCAGTACATCTTTTTTGGACAGCTTCAGTTCCCAGTTGCTCATGTATTATATTTGTTCAAAGTCAAGAGACTTTTAGGTAAGAATACTTTAAATTCAGGAAAAAAGATTTTAGAGTTCTAGGGC